ACATTTAAAGTTTGTTAAAATGGCAAATATTTCCAAAGTCATTTTGATATTGCTACCTGTTGTCTCTCATTTTATTCTTTAATTTGCATGTATTATTATTTAAATCAAATAGGTATAAGTGCATCATTTATTTATTTTTATTCACCCTACTGATACATTGCTGTTTGATTTTATACTTCAATACAATTATGAACTTGCTATTGTAATTGTGTGTCTTCTGACACAAAAAAAAGTGATACTTAGTATGAGTGTTCAGACTGGTTTACTCATAATTATTATTCATATCCAATATTTTATAATAGAACATGATTGGAGGGTAAGGGTAGTACTCCAAGCCAGTGAACATACACTATATACTGGATTACAGGGAAATACAACAAATATTTGCATGTAACTATTGTTGTTGCAAACAGATATTTGGTGGTCTACAGATATGAACACAAAAAAGCGCCAAAAAGGACTACTCCGCCAGTATGGACCAATATAATCACAAGTGTAATCAGAAACAAGTCTGGTAAAAAATATATAAATAATAAAAAGCACGTGTGTAGAAAGGTCTGCAGGATGCTGCCCCCAAACCAGCCAGGGAGACCGCAAAATCTAGGGAAAAAAACACAAACAGGGGGCGCCTTTCCTGGTGCAGACAAATTTATTAAGATCGGGATCAAAGGTAGATAAAAAATTTTGTGAGTATGTTTTTTATCTACCTTTGATCCCGATCTTAATAAATTTGTCTGCACCAGGAAAGGCGCCCCCTGTTTGTGTTTTTTTCCCTAGATATTTGGTGGTCTGGTCAAAGTAATGTATCAAAGTATCAGTAAAAAGATTAGCTGCCACTTCCTCCATCAGGTTCAAGCCTTCCATAAAAAAACAAAAAAGCCTAACCTGACACTCATGGCTGAGTGGAAAAAGTAAGCTTTTGATGCTGACAATATGATACCTGAGACCTTTTGTGATTTAGTAGCAATGCGGAATGTTAATTTTTTAAATTGAATGACTGTACATAACGGGAACCTGTATTCACTTTAAATACTTATGCATGAGGAAAATTAAAAAATTTGCTACCACATAATTGGTTGACTTTAGTCAGCATAGCTTCATCTTATTTTCTAAACTCAATGAACAATAACTTTGCAAAATTATCATTTACTTTGCTAAGTTAGCAGTTTATATTTCTTCATTATTTTAACCCCGATATCTTGCCTACTTAGGTGACTATAAAAGGCAACAAGGATATTAAAAGTAGAGCTGTAAATAGTGGCCAGTAATCATTGTCTTTCCTGTATTTTAATGGCATGCTACCAAGACCCTTTTCACTTTAATGCCCCCATCAAAAAATATTTTCTGCACATAATATAACATAAGTATGTTTTTTTAACATAAACTTCTTCTACTATTCAATGAGAATTGGGCATTGGACAGTTGAATGACAAGGGCTAAGGGTTTAATGCCAAGAGGGGCGTAAAATCAATGCACTGAGTACAGCCTGGGAATAGGCATTAAGTGGCTTCACAGGGACACAGGCATCGATTTGAAGATTTACACATACTGGCTGATAATTTTTAGGTCACATCATGTTCATTTTTTTCCCACTTGTATCTTGCAACCAACACAGGCTCATTAAACCAACATTCCTAGAATATTGGGACATAAAAATTGCTTTGCAAACTTTTCAGATAATGTTTGAAATCATCAACCACAAGTACATGATACTGAATATGTAAGTTCCAGTTATAATATTCACAAACACTGCCATACCTGGAAATGTGAATATTTAACATTTCATATATATAAATACTTTATATACATATATATTTCTAAAGTATTCATTTATGGAATGAAAAACATAAAATATTGATATGAACAGAAGTATTGAACAGTACAAAAAGTCAAGTCTACTGAGCCAAAGTTTGATCTTTGCAAAATTGCTTACACTTTCCAAGGTGGAAAGTCCTTAATCATCATGCTGTCATAATGCACTTTCCTCCTTTATATTTTCACTTTGGCTTGACAAGCTTGGCATTCATAGGAATGTTGCAATATGTGCTGGTCAATACTTTCCCTGTTCATATACTCCTGCTAAGGAACACAACTATTCTTTCTGCAGTCCAAAGTCTGGAGAAAGAATGTTTTTTTCTGCCGTGCAATGTCTGTGGATATGAAATGGATACTTGTGCATTCTTGTAATAATGTTTCCTTTTAAAATGTAATGTGTTTGAAAGGAAACAATAATAATTTTCAATCAAACTTTTTAGTAATTTTTAAATGTTGATAAACTGATCTTCTATATTATTGTTATTAATATGGTTATTTTGCAAATTAATAAATAATACAGGGAGCTTTATTCACATTTAGATTGTAGCACATTCTGGTTTTTCTTATTAGAAATGGTTCCTGCTCACTTTTTGACTGCATTTAACTAAATGAAAGCCCAGATAGATGACATCCTCTTCTGATTGATTAAGCTGTGTGTTGTCAATAGCAGATGATCAAATTAGTTACTTAGGCTATTCCCAGCATACCAGTAAAATCATCCTGCAGAAGTTTGTGAAGAACACAATCGAGCTCACCAGCTTCTGTCTGCATGTGATAAAAATAACTTTAAAAAAAAAACGTATAGCCATGAACATATATTTGTAAAATATATAGAAACCACGATATATTCATTTATTTTATAATTTGACATATGCAAGAACAGCAGAAAAATGTTTACCTATATTAAATATTTATGTTTAAAATGTTTTATGTGGTTGGCTTATGCGCAGTATTAGCCATGTAGTGTTATGTAATGCAGTATGATTTTTACCTACATAGCTTACAGACCATTTTTTATTAAACTTGCTGAGGGCATTTTTAACCATACTATAAAAATATGTTGTATCCCATTATTTCTGTTGAATCTGTCAAGAGTCTGTAAAATGACTTTCGGGCACTGTCACAGCATGCTTTTCTTGAAATACTGATCCAGCTGGGCAGAACCATTTCATACTATCACACTTGATTTCCAAATAAAAGGCTGTTCCTGGGTGGTCCCATAAAAAGAAACACAAATAATCCTTCAACAGACTACATCATACTTCCAAAAATATATTTACAGTCTATTACAAAGATTACAAATGGAAGTGTCTATGAAATGGAAATATTGTAAATGCAATTTACTATTTTCTTTTTAAGGAAACATCTTAGAAATTATCTTTTTTTTCCTGACAATCAAATAAATAAAATAACAATGTACAGAGATCTGAATGACTGTAAAGTAACATAAGTAGAAGAGAAAATCTGTTTGTGTTTTCTGCAGCCATCTTTGGTCCTATATGGTAAAATACATAATGTAGCATTGAAATACCTGTTTTTGTGATCCTCTGCAAGTAAAATAGAAAAATATAGTGCATTTTTAACATATTCAGAGCTCACTACAGAGAAATGTGTGTACAAAACAAGACAGTATAAATAAAATTTACACGCTTTACATGGAAACATTTACAATTTCTGTGGATGCCCACATAATCAAAGAAGACCAAGTTCTGATCCCTCGGTTCTTTCTTTAAGCAACCCAAATCTTTTCGGAAGGACAGGATTCTACATGATGGGTCATCCACCATCTAACATATTTTACAAATATATCTCTTACTCTAAAGATATGCACAGAGGGAATATCTAGAAAGACATGTTTCATTATTGCTTCTGGTAGACAGAAAAAAGACGAAAAACATATCTCATCTAATAGTTACCTACTTAAAAAACAAAAGCACGGATCTATTTAACACATGTTGCAGTTTAATGGGCTGGTTTACTAAAAGAGTAAGTTTTGCTCTAAGCTGGCCATAGATGGCTTAAATTTTGGCCAGTTCCTGCTGAATCAGCCAAAATTCGAGCTGTGGGTGGCCCTGCAAGCACCATCTAGCTTGACAAAAATCAACTGAGTCAGATGGAAAATTATCTGCTGAACAGTGACTGCATCTGACAAGATGTAGCCACTGTTTGAATATTCATGCAGCCACAGGTGCCGCGACTGCTTGAATACAATAGCCGGGAGTGGAGAGTCCATTATCCATGCAGATTGGATGGGGGAATCAATTGATTTTAGACCATGTATGGCAAGCGTTAGTCTATATTTACTTTAAATACTCAATCAGGTTAATTGGAGTTTAAAAAGGTTCGACATTTCCTTAAACTGATTAGGTATTTGAGGTAAACACAGACTATAATGAAAATGATTTCTTTAGTAAACCGGTCCTATAGTGTGGGTGTTGTAACTTGTCAGACTCTTTAAATAACAAAAGAGCTACCCTTTTCACCCTGATATATAAATACAAAATCTAAAACCGTACAATCAAACAGGAATTGCATTCAACAAGATCTTGTACAAAATATAATTTGGCTATTTCAAATTTTAAAAAGGAAAAAACAGCAGATTCTTCAATTCTTTAGTCACCTTGCAGTTATTCACAGGCAGTGAAAGGTTTAGACAGTGACTTCATCACAATAGTCTTTTTTTTATTAAAATTGACATTCGCATGGGGAAGGCTTGATACTTTACAGTACTGTTTCTTTATGTATTTTAGGAGACCCTGTTTCTTCAGAGAATTAAATAACTCTCAATTTAGCAATTTATAAATCACATAATGTTTTCACTGTGTATGCTGTATCAAAGGTGCCATGGCCGCACTGAGTGCCATTATTGCTTTTTATTCAGCAAGTTCTTAGAAAATATCTAAAAATAAACAGTAAATAACCTGCAGATTTTACTCACCAGCTGATGATTTACCAACATCTACATAGATATCTAAGTAAGATGCCTAAATAACTGCATTCAAAATATAACTTGTAATCATGCCAAAGTCTCCCAATCTGTGTGCAATTAAACATTTACCCTCAAAAGAAAATCTAAGGAGAATAACACATTAAAAAATAAGGTTATATCATAAAACACAGCTTATGGAAAATAGTTTGCCGTATTTACCAACAATCTTGAGATTTTGTCCAACAAATATATTCTTTTTCAAAATTATTTATGTACAGTACATTTGAAAAAAGTCCATTGGGCAAAAAGGAGGTTAGAGAGCTCTATTGTGTTGTTTTTGTTCAGGTAGTACTTTGTTATTACTGCTGTATTCCTTGCCACATAGTTTTGATCCAATTTCTCACTCAGGTAAGGTCCGGTGGCACTTAGGAGTTCAAGTCTGTAGGTGCTTGAGGATCTAGTTGGTTTTCATCTACTGCAGAAAGACGTAGTACAGAAGGCTCAGTAAACTGAGCGTTTTCTAGCAGCAGTTATTGTATAGTGAAGGCCAGTGCTGTTATCTCATAGTCCTTCCTCCCTCTTTAGGGAGGGCTGTCTATCACACCTGTATCCCTGTTCCATGAAGGTGTAACATTTGTGCTCTCATAGTCTGAATACTGCTCATGATCTTCTTCTGGTGGCCAACCAATGAAATCCCTAAGCTCATGACATCACTGTAGAGAGAAACATAGTTTTAGTGCCCTTATTATTTATATGGCAATTAAAAAACATTAGTAACCACACTGTATTAAAACAAGTCTGTTAATGGGCTCTCCTCGTTTGTGTTTTAGGGCATTGGCTTTTCTGCACCTTTAGGGCCTGTATCGATGTGCTTTTGGCATATGTTAATAGGGAAAAGCAGCTTGCTAATGACATCAGCTTGAGAGGCTTCCGAGATCATTCAAAAATTTACTGACAGGTGTATTTGACTTCCTCCTGATCTGCATTTTACCTGCTTTGAACTGCTTTTGCATTTCTATAGACTTGAATGGGGAGAGCAGCAATTCTGGAGTGAACAAAAGCCCATCAACACTGGACCTTATAAAAGTGGCCCTGGGGCAGCATGGCACGGTGAAAGTTAGGTTTACAAATCATATATATTGCTAAATATATAACATAGACAGCGGAATCTGTATGATTATGAGTAAACACAAATACACCTCTAGACTGCAATTGCCATCTAATAATACGGCAATTAAACACTCATTGCCTTTTAGGATGTGTGCCTTTTAGTTTTGTAAAGGTATAATATTTCTCAGTCTTTTAGTAAGTCGCTTATGTACGGAATAAATACTGTTAACTGTCCACCATAATTACTGATTAAATGAATGATAGATTGGTTAATTAATTCCTTCATTCATCCATCCCACAGTGATTATATTAGGCTTACTTGATAGTCATCCTGGCCACAGCATCAAGGGAATTGTATCCTGCTGAACTGAACTTTTCCTTATATCGTTCCATCTTGATAGCTTCTAGCCACTCTCCCACTGAACAGAATGTTGAGAAATCAATGGTGTTTTGATCCAATAGTGGGCTTACAGGCCTAAAAAAAATAGTTGTTAAAAAACACAATGAATGTCAGTAATATATCATAATCCACTTCATAGTGTCTTGATGTGCTTGATGAAATATAATTTATTCCAAATGTTTGGTTAGGGATTTCATCCTTAATGAAATAAGTAGGAAGTCTTGGGGCAGTGTTTTACATGGCCATATCACTAACATATCACTTTTCCTGGCAACATGGCAGGCTAACTGATAACACGAGAGACTATCTGATAACATGGCAGAACTCCCTGGTAACAGACATAATTATTGGTCTTTGTGCAACTGGGAGCATAAACATTTTCACCAACATTTTACAGTTCACCGTGTGGCTCCGGACAAGCCACATACCTTTCTAATACATACCCATTTAAAAATAAATCACTCCAACTGTTTTTGCAGTTGTAACTTTTTTTTACTCTTACTGTTAATCCAAACATTGGCATAATTATGGCTGAAACAACTGCAACCATATGATACCAATGTTGCTGTTAAAAGAAGTGGATGAATATGTTACAGTTTTTACTGCTTGTCGTATTATGTTCAGTTGGAAAAAAACCCAAAATGTATTGATCAAAGAATGTTCAGATCAATAATCATATATTCATGTAGATTTGGGTGTAAGCCAAGCTACCAGTATGTTAGTGGCATAGGCCAAGGCTTTACAAACCTGTTACTGTTTTTGCCACTGACATAAGGCTTACTGAGGTGGCCAGCTGGAAACAGTTGTATTCCGGTCGGTGGCAGCGAAAGGGTTAAATGATCCCATATTTATATGCAGTTGATTTACGAAAGGCAAAAAGGGAATTTGCACTTTGCAGGGGAAGTTTCCCCATTAGGTTAGTGAATGAGGTGAAGCTCTGCAGACTTCCATCATCCAATCGCGTGCAAGTATAAGCAAAAATGCTGTTTCCTTGCACATGACTGGGTGTTCTTTGCAAAGTGAAATGTCATCACATTTACCAAGCTAAGGGAAACTTTCCCTGCAAAGTGCAAATTTTCTTGCAAAGTGAACAACCATTTTGCCTTTAGTTAATCAACCCCATATAGTTAATGCTTAGTCCTAATCAACCCCGTGGGCTCAGCGTTAATAGTCCTTTGCAAGCACATCTTCGTATCCATAGCTGTATACTGTTAGACATATGTTCGCATGTGCCTACCGGCTGCCTTTAACTATAGTTAATGCAGACTGTAATGAACTCAGTCCAGGTTCACAGCAGCAATGGATTTGAACATGCACTTTATCCTCAATGAGATATGAAGCTGCTGTGGCCTGCTTCATTTCCAGTACTGCTTTCATTTACCATTCTGGTAAACACAGGCTGTAAGCACTTCAGGACTTGTGTCTAAAAGCATCAGCTACATTAGCAGGGAAAATAAATGTATGCAAAAGAGTCATAGCTGCCACTTTGCAATGCACATAGTGTTAGATAAATTAAACTATAATAAGATGGTAGACACGTTGCATGCATCACAGAGCTATTGTTAATTTTACTGATGCCAACCAGCTATGCTTCACTTAGTCTTTTCCCTCACAGGTTCCAGATCCCACAGTGGTTTATTAGAAGTCTGTGATCTTTTACTGACCTGTAACTAACAGAAGAAATAAAAAAAAAAAGCTGCCATCGATATTATCCCTAGCTCAAGCTGTCTGTCCACCATCATTCAGGAGAAACATAAACAAATGGAAGGGATCTCTTGCAAGTGGGTTGTAGCAATAAATCCTACTGCAAAAAATTGATTGCTATCTTTTAGCTATTTAAATGTTCAAGAGAAACTTGCATAAGGCAAAAGTGCTGCTAATTCTGTACATCACTCCGCATTTGCGCAAATGTTTATCAAACAATATTTTCCAAAAATGCAAAAATCATAGTTAGTGCGAACAAACACAAGATAACTGACAAAAGTCCTACTAAGTCTAAAAGATAAAACTATATTGAGTTATATTGAGAAATATTTGTAAATGTAAAATTGGGCATTTTTGCAAAATGGTGAATATTGTAAATAAACAACTTATGGAAAAATCTGGAGGTTTGCTTCACACCTACAGGTGAAACTCGAATAATTAGAATATCTTGCAAAAGTTAATTTATTTCACTAATGCAACTTAAAAGGTGAAACTAGTATATGAGATAGACTCATTACATGCAAAGCAAGATAGTTCAAGCCGTGATTTGTCATAATTGTGATGATTATGGCTTACAGCTCATGAAAACCCCAAATCCACAATCTCAGAAAACTAGAATATTGTGAAAGGTTAAATATATTCTAGGCTCAAAGTGTCCCACTCTAATCAGCTAATTAAGCCATAACACCTGCAAAGGGTTCCTGAGCCTTTAAATGGTCTCTCAGTCTGTTTCAGTAGGAATCACAATCATGGGAAAGACTGCTGACCTGACAGTTGTTCAGAAAACCATCATTGACACCCTCCATAAGGAGGGAAAGTCTCAAAAGGTAATTGCAAAAGAAGTTGGATGTTCCCAAAGTGCTGTATCAAAGCACATTAATAGAAAGTTATGTGGAAGGGAAAAGTGTGGAAGAAAAAGGTGCACAAGCAGCAGGGATGACCGCAGCCTGGAGAGGATTGTCAGGAAAAGGCCATTCAAAAGTGTTGGGGACTTTCACAAGGAGTGGACTGAGGCTGGAGTCAGTGCATCAAGAGCCACCACACACAGACGGATCCTGGACATGGGCTTCAAATGTCGTATTCCTCTTGTCAAGCCACTCCTGAACAACAAACAACGTCAGAAGCGTCTTACCTGGGCTAAAGAAAAACAGACCTGGTCTGTTGCTCAGTGGTCCAAAGTCCTCTTTTCTGATGAGAGCAAATTTTGCATCTCATTTGGAAACCAAGGACCCAGAGTATGGAGGAAGAATGGAGAGGCACACACTGCAAGATGCTTGAAGTCTAGTGTGAAGTTTCCACAGTCTGTGTTGATTTTGGGAGCCTTGTGATCTGCTGGTGTTGGTCCACTGTGCTTCATTAAGTCCAGGGTCAACGCAGCAGTCTACCAGGAGATTTTGGAGCACTTCATGCTTC